CCCTGGTCCTCCCTTTTCCCCCCTTTCCAAACCCCCGGTATGTGTTCCCCCACCCCGCACCCCACCTGTGTTTTTGCTCCATGAGGTCCGCCACTGAGGTGAGAGTCATGGTGAAGGAAGATACGGCACCACCAACGGCAGAGGCGGGATAGTACCTGCGGGTGGGGCGGGGTGGGGTGGGGTTGGGGGGTTTTAGTAGGGGCGACTGTTGAAAGGGTTGGAGCTGAGGAGGAGGAGTCAGTGTCCATTACTTCGTGGATTCGGCTCCTCGTTGGGGCTGTAGTGTACGACAATGCACGGCAGGGGGCCGAGACTGTGTTGCAGGGAAAGGACGGTACTCGGACGACGTGTAAAAAAACATCCATGTGTGGCACGGCGGTCGGTGACAAGCATCCCCAACCCGGCCCCCCCCTGCCTTCCCACTTTTCCCCCCTCCCCTCCCCTTCCCCTTCCCCTTCCCTTTCCCCCCTCCAAACCCCTCCCACCAATATATCGGCAGAACATCATGTAGGTGCAGCAGGATTACCAGCAGTGGCAGGAACATAAGCCCCACGCCGATCAGCATGAAGGGCTTCCGGCCGATTCGGTCACTGAGCTGACCCACGAAGGGGGCGCACAAGAACGTCAAGAGTGAGGAGGAGATGAAGTTGGTCCAGCTCATCCACATCACCACGGTGCCGTGCGCGTCCACGCACTCGCGGGGGGAGTCGGCGGGGGAGAATGCCGTACAGTCCACACGGTGTCCGGCGGCGAGGGAGGCGAAGCCGTTGGTCATGAGGGTGGGGGTGATGGGGAAGATAATGGCGAGGCCTGGGCGTAGGGGGGCCGAGGGGAGGGGAAGTCGTGATATGGTGCAATTTGCAATGAATCAACCATCCCGGGCAGTCCAAAAGCACCGACTGGAGAGGGGAGGGATGTGCGAAGTGGTGGGTGAGAAAAGGGAGGGGAAAGAGAGAGCAGGAAGGAAGGGGAGAGGTGGAGGGAAGCGGAAGGAGAGAGGTGAGAGCGGGTGGGTTTTCCGGACGGTTAGTCCTGGGGTTGAAAAAAGTGCAGTGTGTGTGCGGATGTTCGAGAATGGAAGAGAATAGAGGGTAAAATTCAGATGGGAAAACTGTAATGGAATAGAACGGCATTTTGTTTCTTGTATCCAATGGCCACGGGGGGAAGATGGGATTGATTTGGGTTTCAGTGGGGATCAGAGAGCACAAGGCATGTGATTTGGGATTCGACGTGCTGCTTTTCCTTGCTTGAACGGAAGGCGACAAGGGTGTGACAAGTGTGGGCATCGGCCAAGCCACAACTAACAGTCCTGAAATAATCTAAATATGCAGACCCAGGAATAGAGCTACGAAAACTAACCTGTGGAATATATTAACAGGAATAGCATTAGCCGCCAGACACCAGTTCTCCATATCGCCAGGAGAAGTCCATCTGTGGACTTATTTGATGCGCTGACCAACCTTTCAAGCATGGAAAACAACATTCTTTGCGATCTCCTATGTCATAACGTATGACACGATAGACGGCGAATATGCATTGAAATTGCGCCCTCAGGTGTTAGTTGTTCGCGAGCCATACGGACAATACACGATCTGGCCCAAACAATCCAACACCCGACCAGGTCGAGTGCATATGTCCAATGAACGCATGCATCGAGCCAAAGTAATCAACTGTAATCTGCGTAATTAACTGTAATCTGCGTGCCGTACCACCGTTGGGTAGTCTACCGCAGCTTTCAAGTTGCAACCTGGATTTATAACATGTCTACCATACGCGCAAGTACGCCTTAGAAGCTGGGAATTCATGCACCAAAATTTATAAACGACTTGCAATGCTCAAATTGTCCCTTCTGGTATCAGGGGAGGATGTCATCCCCCTTAACACAGCGGGATGATTGTGAAAAAAGTCGCAAGATGCTGGGCTGATAAAGCAGTACAGAAGAAATTGCAGGGATGATATGAGTAGTATGGCATATCCCACAAATAACTGTTATTGCCCGAACACATTTGCTCACCAAAAACAACCGTTGTCCCGCATAATTTTTACAACTAATAAAAAATATTACTCGTGCAGCTGCATGTCGAGGAATAGTAACCGGCACTCGAATCCGATCGGGTGGATCCCTCCCCTGCGGTACCTGTCCTCTGTTCCCATGGTACTTCCAAAGCACTAGAATGGACAAACATTTACTTTTGACTATGACCTGACTTAGCTGTATAATACAAGGACAGACAGTGCACGAGGCCTTTGACTAGCCTAAGTTGCACCGTAAGCCTCAAAGGGCGGATTCCCAGGCTGCGGCACATGTCCAATCCCAAAGCAAAAATTTCCTTCCGCGCGTCTTATCCGGCGCTCAAAGCTACCAAACACCGAATAGCTATGAAATATACAAGCTTCCAAGGATTCCGCACCCCAGGGTACACAAATGACTGCCATGAATAACGCAGGAATGGAGGAGTCTGCAAAGGAATATCGTGGCGTTTCTCTGCGTTTCCTCAGCGACTTCGCTGCGAAGGTGACTCGATGCGCCAGATTAGACTTGCATGGATACGCGCATCTTTTCGGCATGGCATTTGTTGTATAACGCTGAGATTTACGTAGATCTCGCATGTACAGATAATAATTTCCGTTTCTACATGGCAAGGTTGCGGGTTGGGTTGATTGCTGGCTGCAGCCAGAAAGGCTTCATCGGGCGCTTTAAAACGGCTCTCTTTCTACAACTTGGAGGACAATGAAATATATACTGACAACATATACTATGGGAAACGTCCTTCAGGCGCGCCAGCGCCTCACGCAGCCATTACTCGGTGGCCTACATCAACCATTCCCGCCGTCGCCACCTACACGCCCACCTCCGAGCCCCCAAGCTTACCCCTGCAACCACGTCCCCTTTTGAATCGTCCCCCCCACACACACACACACTCGCTTCCAGGTCCCCGCTGATCTGAGCACAGCCCAGATTGTGGCCCAGTTCATCACGCCGAGGTGTCGTGGCGGAGTTCCCTTCCTGGAGCTAGTCGCCCCCAAGTACGTGGGCCCTGCGCAGCATTACGTCATCCATGCCTGGAGCTGCTGTTTCCTGTCCGACCTGGTGGTCCCCTTGCTGCAACACTTCATTGGTAGGCCCCTTGTTTGTATGTATGCATGTATGCATATATGTATATATATATGTAGGTAGGTAGGTAGGTAGGTAGGTAGGTAGGTAGGTAGGTAGGTAGGTTTTCATAGGGGAATTTTTCCTGGGCCGGAATATTTAGCAGGTGGAGGTGGGGTTGGGGTTTCCGTATCCCCGCCTTCCTGGCCCGTACCTGCCATTTCTTACCCCCCTCCCCCCCGCAGACACACTGCATGCATTTCTCTCCCCCCTTGTTCCCACCCCATACCCCACCCCCCTTGGTCTACTCCCCCCGTGCCCCACCAAGCAGGGACCCCGAGCTCCGACCCGGTCGCCCGGGCCAACACCCTCTCCAACACCTTCGTGTGGATAGACTGCTTCAGCTGCCCACTGATACCGCCGACAGAGGGGGGGGTGGCGGAAGCGAAGGCGGAGGACCAGCCCGCCGCCGCTGTACCCCGACGCGACCTCACCCCGGCGCCGTGCAATTGTGGACGGCACGCTCCGTCAGTGCAGCTCGGCGCTGCTCATGTTGGACAGCGCCGCCGCGGCTCTAGGTCGTACATGGTGCCTGTACGAGGTCGTACAGGCTCTGACGCTGCGGGGGCCGCAGTTCCTGCATGTGCCGGTGTTTGACTTCACTTTGGACATCTTGTACAACTCCCTCAAGGTGTGGACCTCGGTCACCGGGGTTTCGGGGCGAGAGTTTGGTTATGTCAGTGTGACGGGAGGGAAATGGAAGGGGGGAGAGGAGGAGGGGGAAGAAAAAAAGGGTGCTCAGTGGGGTTGGGGTGGGGGTGCGGCCCTGGAATACGACAGGGGGCCAGGAGGCGCAGCAATTTGCTCCCCCCCTTCACTGAGGTCCCCCTTCTCCTGCGGGCTGCTAGGTGCCCGGAAGGTGGATGACCGCCCTACCTACCCACCGCATCGCACCTGCCGTACCCAACCACCTAACCACCCCTCTTCGCAACTTGCATGTAGTTACCCTTCCCACCCCTCTCCACCCGCCCCTACCCGCCGCTGCGGCCGCCGTGCGTGCGGATTTTCGCCTGCCGTACTCCCACCCGCCTCTCCACCCCCCAACTCCCTCCCCCGCTGTCCCTTTGGCTTTTGCACATCGTCAATTCCCGGGGCCCACCTGCCATGCCCTTTCTCCTCCCATACATACATACATACATACATACATACATACATACATACATACATACATACATACATACATACATACATACATACATACATACATACATACATACACACACATACATACATACATACATACATACATACATACATACATACAAACATACATACATACATACATACATACATAAGCCACCCCGCCCCGCCCCTCAGAGCATCAACCTGGGTGTCTCGGAGGCGCACAGCCCCGCGGACCGCCGGGAGCTGGTGGCGGCGCTGACCGCGCAGTTCAGGAGGGAAGCAGCTGCCGAGGAGGCAGCTGCGCGCAGTGGAAGTGCTGGTGCTGGTGGTGGTGGTGGCGGAGGTGGGGCCCCATTGCGGCGCAGTGCGAGGCTGTCCGGGGCACTGGGTGCCGCCACCAGGAGGATTATTTCGGGAATCCAGGTGCGTGTGCGTGTGCGTATGGGTGTGTGTAGGGGGGCAGAGTTACAGATAATATAATATGGATGAGGTTACGGGGTACTTCTGGTTCTAATACTCCACCTTCAGTAATTATGTTCTTACCGCGTGTGTGTATGGGGGGAGATGGGGAAGGAGGGGAGGGATTTACTTGCAGAAAGTGAAGCACACAACTGCCGACACATGAAAACGTGCACTGCCGTACGAGTCTAAGGCGATGGGGAACCGCAATGGGGGGTGGTAGAGGGTGTATTTGGGGGAGGGGTCAATTATTTAACACAATGGACTTACCCGAGGTGCCAGAGGACGGGAACTGTGGTCCCCACATGAAAGGGCGCTGGTCTGGACCCTCCCTTTTCCCCCCGTCCCGCGCTCGTAACAAACACACACATACTCTTACGTACATACATACATACATACCGATATACATACCGACATACATACCGACATACATACCGACATACATACCGACATACACGCTCAGGACGCCCTGGTGGGTGAGGTCCAGCAGCTGGTGTGGGCGGGGGAGCGCTCCGGGCCCCGCTACATGTCGTGTTTGCGAAAGGCGGCGGAGGCGCTCAGACTGGGCAGCGCACCGCAGGCGGAGGAGTTGGCGCTGGCGGCGGTGGAGGTGAGTTGAGGGAGGGGGAGGGGGGGGAGGGGTTGAGGGGTGGCTGGGGCGGGGGGTGGCTGGGGGACCGAAACGCGGGTGAGGGAGGGAGAAGACCTGAGAGGAAACAAAATGACTCAGCTGTCGTACAATGGTTTCTTACCCATTTGTTTTGCCCCTTCATCCCGTCTCCGTGTGTGTGTGTGTGTGTGTGTGTGTGTGTTAAATGATCTTCGGAGCCGTGATGAAGGAAATGGCGAGAGGGTGGTGGTACACGAGAATAAATAGCTTTGCACCAGAGCGAGCTCCGTCGTCGCCAGTGGCCACCTGTCTGAATGTATCCCTTGAATGTATGTATGTATGTACGTACGTACATAGCAGCAGTTTCCGAGTACTTTTTGATTATAAGGCGTGATGTCTTTGTGTATGTATGTACGTATGTAAATATGTCTGCGATGTGTGTTTTTGTTGTTCAGGAGCACCGCCAGGCGCTGGGGGAGTCCGATGCCGCCACCCTGACTGCCCTCTCCAACCTCGCCCTGCTGAGGAGGAGCCAGGGGAAGGTGGGGGAGGCGGAGGAGCTGCTGAGGAAGGTGGGTGGTACGGTGGTACGACATGGACGAACGAAAACTTTTCAAACGGGGTTGGGCCGCTTCCCCCTTTTTTCCCTCTTTCTCCCCCCCCCAATTGCAACTTTCAGGTGTTGGCGGGTCGGCGGTGCGTCCTGGCTCAGGATCACCCGGACATCGCCGCCTCGTGCGACCAGCTGGGGTCCCTGCTGCAGGAGGGGGGGAAGCTGGAGGAGGCGGCGGCGCTGTACGGCGAGGTGAGCGAAGGAACACAAGGCAGACAGACAGGCAAACATATGGTCATTCTTGTGTTTTTCCCCCCTGCCTCGTCCATCCCCCCCACTCCGGCAGTTGGAGGTGGTTTGGACGTCATTTGGCGGCGGTTGCACTTCCTTCACATATTTGAATTTGATTCCCTCCCCGCCTGCAACCCAGCAGTTTCAAACTTTGAACGCCGTGGCAGTTCATTTCTGGTTGCCTTGCAACTGATCCCCCTC